GGATCTTGTGCCGACGCCAAGCGGGCCACCTCTGCCTGCCGGCAGCGCTCATGGTAGCTGCGACTCTCCTCTAGCAGCCGCTCCGCCTCCATCCTCCTTTCGGCCGCATCGGATGCGGCCTGTGAGAGACGCTCTTTGGTCGTTGCATGCTCAGCTGCTTCTGCCTCCAACCGAGTCAGGAGCTCCTCACAACGCTCTTGGCACTGGCTGTGCTCCTCCTGCAACTGCCTCCGCACCTGTTGCGCGAGCTGCGAGCTCTTCGCACCGCTCCTTACACTTCGCACTCTCGCCCTGCGCAGTTTGGAGCTCCGCGGTCTTGCTGGACACCTTTGCCTCCGCCGCAGCCAGGCGATTGCTGAGCTCTCGGCCCTCCTCCTCCTGCGATGTTTGGAGGTCCGCTTCGAGGCGCCGCGCTCGGAGGTCTCCTCCTCGAGCTTCTGCCGCTTCCGCGCCGTCTCCTGGCTCTCGGCTGCCACGAGCCGCTCCGCGAGCTCCCGGCAGCGGTCGCGGACGTGGGGACACTGCAGGTACCCAGCCGCCCAGTACTCCCGCTCCGCTGCTGAGCCCCACGACTCTCCTCGCAGGAGCCCGGCCTCGGAGAAGAGCCAGAAGCCCGACTCGTACTTGCCATGCTCGGCCGCCCCGTGCCGGAGCAGCGCCTCGAAGAGCTGCTCCGGCCTCGTCTCCTTGCCCGCGAGCTCTTTTGCGTAGCGCTCCCGGCACCGCTGGAGCCAGGCCTCGGCCTCCTGCGGCTGCGAGGCCCAGAGCTCCACCAGCCGAGTACTCACCACCTCGCGAGCTCGGTCCGCGTTAGCACTGATTGGACGATATCGAGCCAAGTCGAGGAAGGCGTCGATGACGGTCGCAAGGGGCCAGCCGGCAGGGACTGCGGTCAGCTCAGAGAGACGTTTTGCTTCAGACGGCTGAGACATGTTGGCGGCGCGCCGGTGGAAGGGGCCTCGGGCTCGCAGCTGTGAGCCTGGACACTTGTCCCTTTCGACTTCGGTCAAAGACCAGCCACCTGGCAACGCATGCGACACTTCCCAAACCATGGGCCCTGGACCTGGAGCCACACAAGGAGGCGCCGCCGGCTATCGGCGCAAAGCGCCGCCAAACCTCGGATCCGGTGTGCGAGTTCGAAATCCTGGATAAGTCTCGAGCTAAACTGAAGTTGTGAAGACTGTGGGTGGATAGATGTCACTGTGTAACCTGTGGGGAGTCTTGGTTTTGCGATGTGACCTTGACACGCGACTTGCAGAGATCCACGATTCGAGCAGATGATAACTCTTCAGACTCGGTGACACCCAACCTGACCGAAGAAGATTGCTGTCCTGATGCTCGGCCCTTCCGTTTCACAAAGTTGCGAGTAAGGCTCTTGGCTTCAAGCAAGCCTCGGGAGGCTACCGACCATCACCGACCCATGGGGAAAAGAAGGGACGAAGCACCAGGAGCCCCAAGCCGGTGAACCCCAGCCCGAGAAACCCGCTGTCCCAACCTCGCGTTCGAAACGCCAGAGCCCGAAGCACGCCCTGAGAAGCCCCTGTCAACCCCAAAACCCCGATCCCTAAAACCCCTCAAAATCCCCCAGAACCACGAATTCTAAAAAAAAATGGAACCTTTCAACTTTCAGCAGGACACGGAACTTAGCAAACCAGCTCCCCTTGCGGGTCGCTGGTGTCCGGCAGTGCCACCTCGCTGAGGCTCAGGGCAACTGATAGGCCTCTCGGGCCTTTGGGGCTGAAGTACGGCTTGGGGTTCAGGTCCTAGTCCTAGACTTCGAGGCTCATAGGGCTCATAGGGTGTTTCGGGTGGTTTTTTGGGGGGTCTAGCTTAGGGTTTAGGGTTTCAGGTTTAGGGTTTAGGATGGAGGGCTTACCAAGAGCTGGCGCACCTCGACTCCAAGAATCGCTGAAGATCCCCAACCCAAAACCCACCCAAACCTTGAGTTGGCGCCTGCACCTCCTGCAAGACGCAGTGGGGGCCAGTGAGCTCCGTCTCCGTCTCCTGGGCCAGGACCCCACTTGGCGGCTCAAGGTAGGTTACAATTTTTGAAATTTATACATAGGGCTTCACAAACCCTTAAGCCCTCAACCCTTGGTGTATCTGACTTACTGGCTCCCGGCCGACAGAGTAGTCCCTGGCTTCGAGGCCTAGAGTCTAGAGCTTCAATGCTGGAATCCAAGCATCCGACACCACCTGGAGCCTCCTGAGGCTCTGAAGCACGAAGTGTGGAAAAGTTCAACCTACGGCAACCACCGCAACGGCGACAGCGATCACAACAATAGTAACAGCCGTCGATGAAGACAGGAACGCCTGCTGACAAGATCCCCCTTACGTCGCACCGTGTGCTACTCAGGGTTATAGTATGGAATACCAGTAGAGGGGTCTACTTTAAAGATCCCAGTGGCATGCAGGGCCCGGATCTGATCGATCTCGAAGATGGTTCCGTCGTGTGTCTGCAGGTGATGTTGAGGCTGCGGGCTTGTGGGGTAATCTAGGGCGGATAGGGTTTTGGGCTGCGGTGTGTTATAACTGTGTGGGGAATTTAAGGGGATAGGAATACTGCACATTATTCCTACTCCTAGTTTCACTCACTGTGCAACTTAGTCAGCGTGCTTTAGCGGCCCTACAAGTGGATGCCTGCAGGAGCTATTGCAACTGCACCAGTTTTTACAACCGATACTGAAATCCGCAGATAACCCTAAACCCTAAACCCTAAACCCTAAACCCTAAACCGAACTCCAATAATAATGACTACACTGATGAGGATGGGACTCGGGCTCACAGAGCCTCTGACCCCCGACGTCCCTCGCTATGCCACGTGAGCCCCCAATCCCCCGAGCTCGGGAAGCCAACAGCTGCTCCCCTACGAGCGGAAATCTCGCGAGTCGAAGTTTGACCCCCGACCTCCCTCTTGACGCTACGGCGGGTGTCGAGTTTTATGGTTTAGGGTTTAAGGTCCCTAAGTAACCCTAAACCCTAAACCCTAATTCCGGATGTCCCAGGACGACCAAAATGCCAAGGAGCACTTCGAGACTCGAAGCTCTCCTCCTGTGAGGGCTGTCGGCTGGGCTCTTCGGGCTCTGCGTCCTGTGTCTCTTCATACAAGGGCCTATGAACCAATAGAATTAAGGCTTTTTGGGGGTCTAGAAGTATGGTAGGGTATAAGACAAGTTGTTTGGGTTTCGGGAAGCCAGCCAGCCGCTTGTGGCGATGCCGGCACTTCTCAGCTTCCCCAGAACCCGCCCTTTACAGCAACTTTTAGAGCTCAGGCGCTTCACATGAACTTTCTTTTGTGGGCCCTTTTCCGACCTGCTTAGCAACCTCCCAGGACATCCACTCCGGAGCGAAGGGTTGGGGCTTTACCTGGGTTTTTGCCAACTTAAATCCCGACACCTCTAACTCCGTAAACCTCAACCGTCAACAGCGCCCCGCCCCTGGTAAAAAAAGCTAAGAAACCGCCCAAAGAGATTCCTGGCCTCTACGCAGTGGATCCCATGCAGCTGCCTCAAAGCATCCGGGTCCATCCCGCCCTCCGTGTAGAGGCCTGCGCCAAAAAGGCGCTTAGGGTTTCGGCGGCTCCATGGGGCTGAAAGATATCTTCTGCAGGGCTCAGCAGCAGGCTCAAAGCTTGTTTATTCCTCTGCCTGCAGACCCCGACAGAGCGCGTCGGGGGTTCTGCGGCCTTGAACTTAGGCTAACGGTGGAGGTAGACGCTGCTAGGAGTGAAGCGTTCAGGTTCTTTGGGCCCTTAGGCTCGAAGCAGTGTCGGATTCAGGGTATTTGGTTCGCACCTTCGATGCGGTGGCAGCTTCCTCGTATTCCCAGGGTCACAAACCTTGAAGCCTTATGGTAGGACCCGAAGCTCAGCTACCCTAAACCCTAAACCCTAAACCCTAAACCCTAAACCCTAAACCCTAACCCTAAAGCCCTAAATCGCTTCGATCAAAACCGGGAGCCGGGCCGTGGCGCATGGGGAAGAAGGGGATGTAGAAGAGGAGGCATCTCCAGTGCCCGTAGAGCGTGCAGATCTGCAGGAACGTGGAGTAGAGCGGCCAGAGCAGCCTCCGGTAAAAAAACCCAAGCCGGAGGCTTCCGAAGAAATTTTGTTGGGCGGCCTTGCGGCTTGCGATTTCGGGGTGCAGCGGTACACAAGGTTTTCCAAACCGTGGCGCTCAAAAAAAATCCTAGCCCTAGTTGTTGAGTCCCGCATCTCACAGCGGAGATGCCGAACAGAATAGTAGTGATTTGCACGGTGGGGTACGGAGAACCGCGATGACGACGACGACTGCATCTTAAAACCGCCACCCCGGTGAAGCCACAAAGCATCTGCAAAACCCCTTCCAACACCCCAGCATTGAAGCCCTCCTGCATCCCCTTACAGCCATGAAGCCTTTAGATACCCCAAGACCTCATGCTAGCCAATAAGGCCCCTTTATGTTGATCCCTTCTGGGGACGAGCAGCAACGTCATGGCATCAGCTTGTAAACCCGGCTGATCTCTCAGAAGGAAGGCACTAAGAAAAAGCCCGTTGGCCCACTGACCTTAGTTCTTGAAACTCTTAGGGTTTCGGATTCATAGGTCGCCATAGGTTGTTGGACTATAGTGTTTAGGGTTTAGGCTGTAGGACTCAGAACGTGCATTCAGCTTTTCGGTGTTCATGACATGACGGTGCTTCGGTTTGTTCAAAATTGTTGAAGCTAGGTGGCTCGAAAGAATCATCCCTGAAAATGCTCCTCCACCTGATACCATACCCTCAGCTCCAAGCTCCGTCATACCCTCCCTAGCTCCTTCTCTCCGACACTGCGGCGACCTTGCTTCGAAATGAACCCAGTGCTGATATCCGACGCACCACCGTACTTACGACATCCGTAAAACTTGCCGGAACTGAAACATCACACTTGCCCATGCAGCTCCCCCCGACCACATATGAACCCGGAGACCCAGATCCCCGAACCCCAAGCTCCAAAACCTGAACCCCTCCACCCCCACAACCTGAGCTTGAAGCCTGAACCCGAGATCGCAAAAAAAAACCCAACTCCGTCCAGCCACAGACAGCAAAGGAGGCAAGTGCCCCGAGCATGTGCCGCGACACCTCCAAACGGCTCAAGCACAGGACTCGGTCCAAGGATTTTGGGGGTCTCAAGGCCTGTGCGCCCTGCCTTCGGGTTCCAGGATTCCGGTGAGGGTTTCGAGGATTTAGTCTTGGCCCTGCTCGGCTTCAAACCCTAAACCCTAAACCCTTTATGCAACAAACCCTTCAACCTTAAAGCCCAGATCTGTCCCTTGATGGCACGAAACCCCGTCTCCCCCACATGCGTTCAGCGTCCTTCCCTGTTTATCAGGTAGGGCCTAGTTACGTTCAACCCAAAACTCTCCACCGTGGACCCTAGACGCGTGTAGCCTCGCTCCAGTCGTCCAAGGCCACGAAGACCACCAGGGCTTGCAGCAGGATGAAGGGCGCGAGGAGGTGACCTCCGAGTTCGGGATGGCAGCTCATGGGACTTTGGAGGACGGAAGTTTTGTGAGTTTAGGGTTTAGGGTTTAGGGTTTAGGGTTTAGGGTTTAGGGTTTAGGGTTTAGGGTTTAGGGTTTAGGGTTTAGGGGTTTAGGGTTTAGGGTTGTGCAGTCCAATAAGAGCTGTATTGTCACCAGTTGTAGGATGGGGATCTGGGTGGGGGTTTTTGGGCTTTCTTGGTACTTCATTCGCTGTTCTCTGCAGACCCTAAACCCCTGTAGTACCCTTAAACAGCACCCTTCTTTTCACTTAGAACCCTTGGCCCTTGACCCGAAACCCTTGTAGTGCCCTTAAACAGTACCCTTCTTTTCACTTAGAGCCCTTGGCCACGGTAGAACCCAGAGCTCTTGTAGTGCTGCTTCTCAATTATGTAGAACCCTGGGCCACCGTAGAACCCTGAGCCCTAAACCCTAAACCCTAAACCCTAAACCCTAAACCCTAAACCCCTAAACCCTAAACCCTAAACCTTCCCGAGTCCTCCAGTGCCGGACCGAGTGGCCTACGACGCTCATCAGGTGCAGGGCCTCAGCGCGACAGGGATCTTCTTCGGGCTAACATAACAGGGTTTAGGGCTTAGGGTTTAGGGATCTTGAATAACTGATACGGTTTCCTTACAATTGTAAGTTAAAACCATCAATCCCTAATCCTAAACCCTGGACCCCTAAACCTTAAATCAGAAGTCCTTAACATGATTCCAGGTGGCGGCCGTGGGTTTCGGGACTTGGGGCTCTTCGGACGTTTTCGGGAGCCCCCAAATACCGGTGACTTGCGGAAGGTACCTGGAATCACGTAGGGCTTCTTGGTATGAAGTACGGTGTATATTCCTTCCGAAGCCTTAAACTTATCATACAGCGGTCAGGCTGCAAGTCGTGTATAGGCTTCTAGGGTTCAGGGTTCTGCGGCTTAGGGTTCAGGCTTTGGGGCCCTGTGCCCAACCCCGAAACCTCTAGAAATCCATTTGTCCGGGTGGCGGAAGTGACCTGAAAGACGAGGGTCCTGTCGGGACGTGCAGTCGCGAAGTTGCGAAAGAGGTTGGGGTCTAGGGCTTTGGGTTGGGGTCCTTCGTTTTGGAACAGGATTTTGGGATTTTGGGTTTTTAGAGGTTTAGGATTTAAGGAAGCTTAGGCATTCAGGGCTTCCGAAGTTTAGGGTTGATAGGCGGCAAGCTCAGTAACTTCTTCGAGATGCAAAAGGTGACAGATTGCTTGGCTCGGGGATGTCGATGTCCTTTTCTTCACGGCTTTGCGTGAAAAAGCAGCCGGTCCACCCCAAAACCACAAAAGCAGCGAGGCTCAAATCCGGAGGTTGAATACAAACCTTGTCCAGCAGAAACGCCGCACCCATCCGCCAGAAAGGACTCCAAAATTCAGAAGCACGCGCCTGGCCTGGAGAGGGAGCCGGTGCGATAGAAGAGCATGAGATACAGCCGTAGCCAGAGTCTCCGGGGCGCATTCACACACCACCTCTCAGCACCTCAGAGCTATGGACTTGTTGTGTAAAGTGCCGTGAAAGTGAGGGACATTTAGGTTTGGGGCGCCCGGAGGTCAAGCCCGGGCTTCAGTAGTCTTGCTTAGCATGGAGCATTCTTGCTCTTCTTATTCTTTGGAGTCTTGGCATAGCTACTACTATGAGCCACTGTCGACCCTTCACAAAGTTTGATGACATCCCAGAACCCCAACAAACCCTGCAGCGAAGAACTAGAGCAGAATCCGAGGGGCGCTGCTTCCAGAGGCATGTGGCGCCGTAGCCTTTCAAGGGGGGACACATCGAGGCTCTCGGGCACAGGGCTCAGAGGCATCAAGGAGGTACGAATCATCCCCCTATTGTCCCCTTATGACCCTGCCACAATGTATCCCACAACCCCATTCCACGAAGGCCCCTGATTATATGGTTTAGTTTCAGGCCGGGCACTCAGTAAAACTGAAGTTTGAATTCTTCTGAACTCATAGCTTCCCTTGGGGTGTGGAGCCCAAAAGCGGAACCGGATTTAAGACGTTTGAGACTTCGGGGTTCTCGAGATATGCAAAGAAAGCTCAGCATTGCAAAGCGCCGGCCTTCGGGTTAGTTCCAGGCCCAAAAACCTGAACCTCTAAAAACCTGCGAAAAAAACCATACAAAACCGTATGGAGCCCACGTAAAACCCGTAAGTAAGAGAGATGGAACTTTGCTCAACGCTGTCGCCCAGTCCTTGATCGCGCGAGCTGCTCCCGGGGAAGAAAGCACCGGGGGCATAGGTCGTCACCTCGCCATTTTGGGCTCAGAGGCTTCGAGCCCCACGCCCGTCAAATCCAAAACCCGGAACCCTTTGAGGTTTATGGCTCAGGGTCTATAAACCCTAAAAACCAAACCCCAAAACAGGGCTCTTAGGGTTCATGACTCAAGGTCTAAAAACCCAAAAACCCTAAACCCAAACCCGCAAACAGGGTTTTTTGAGGGTTTATGACTCAGGCTCTACAAACCCACAAATCCTAAACCCCAAATCCCAAAACAAGGTCTTCTTTAGGGTTCATGACTCTGGGTCTGGATCTTTCGCCGGGGCGCCGAACTTCGCAGTTCCTGCGCCATCGCCCGCTGCTTCAGGAGATTGATCGTGCCGTTCCTTTCGTGGAGACTTTACAGCTCGGGGAGGCAGACTGCTTGGGGAAAAAGCTCGACCGAAGCTTTAGACATGGTTTTGAACAGTTGGAGACAAGTTGAGAGCTGCGGGGGGGTTGCAACCTTTCAGGTTCTGAGCTGCAATTTTGAGAGTTTGGTGGCTAATCAAGGCTCGGTAGCTTAAAGCCTATGATTCGCTTACAATGTTGAAGTTTCTGGTACCCTGCTTGTCCAGTTGAAAACTTTAGACTTCCGAAGTCCCGAAGTCTCCCAACTTTGGGTTTAGGGTTTTAGGTTTTAGGGTTTAGGGTTTAGGGTTTAGGGTTCAGGGTTTAGGGTTTAGGGTTTTAGGTTTTAGGGTTTAGGGTTTGAGTACCGATTGTGCTTGGGAGTCCTCATTGAACACATGTAGATGTTTCTGGGTTTAGGCTTTGACCTGAAACCTCTGGCGTCTGAAGCGCCCAGCGGCCAGTTGTCTTCTCCGAACGGCAGGAAAGGATGCTCCTGGCGTGGCGTTTCGGGATGCCCGAACCCGCCAACGCGGACGTCGAAACCCCGACCCTGCGAGGACACCCTGGAGTTTGTATACACATACTACAGAGGTACAGGGTCTAAGGACAAAGGCCCCTGAAGCTGGATCATGTGATCTCGAGAGGTGTGGAGGAACGTCTGGCCCCAAAACCCCTAAACCCTAAAACCTAAACCCTAAACCCCAAACCCCAAAAGGCGCCTGCATCGTCTCCCTGAAGGCCTGTCTCCGCCAGATCCCGATGATGCCATGTTGGAACCAAACGGTGGAGTACATCGACTCAAAGAGACCTGTTCGCGGTTCAGGGTTCAGGGTTCAGGGTTTGCGGTTTAGGGTTCAGGGTTTAGGGTTTAGGGTTTAGGGTTTAGGGTTTAGGGTGGAAACACGAGCCCATCGCTAGATCAGGGGACTCTCTGGTTCTTCAGAACACTACCTCACTGAACCGA